GCATTTCTCTCTCTCACAGTTTTAAAAGATGCTTCATTCGGCGATATCATGGCTCAATAAAAGGCAAAATAAGCTCCCTTTTCTCGATTTTTCAAATTTATTAAAAGGCATCCAGTCAAATGGACACAAACTGAGAAATGAAAAAGGAATCAAAGATAATTCTCGGATTGTCCACTTAATAAATTACAAAAGAGCTATAAGAATAACTGATCCCTTTATAAACCAGTCTGAGAAAAATAGCATAAATTCACTGAAACCTCCTACACTCTCATACTGTATTTTCTTATATAATAGTTACAGATGGCTGAATGGTCTCACCAATATGGTTGGAGTAATAAATGTCTCTTTTATATATGTATTCATAATCAGTTAGCAGTGATTATGATAGACACAGTGCAGTACAATGCTGTGGTCCACTTGTTTGGGGCTATTATCTCAGTGCTGCATAAGACATTAAGCCACAACTTGATATAAGCAATAAAAACAGCATGTCTACATCTTTTGCCAAAGGCATCAAAGTGCTATTTTGTAGTCAATAGCACATGCTACACAGCTGGTGAGGGTGAGTGCGAGTGGAGTGGCTCATGGTGTAATGATTTCGCCAATTTTCTATGTAAGACGCCAAAAAAGTGATCAAACCCCTAACCTTCTGTTATCAGCACTGAGTCCAATTAGCTGAGCGACACTGTGTCACGCTGATAAATCCACAGTGGCACTGCCGTCTGTTAGAGAATGCATTTTGTTACACTGTTTACTCCTTATCTTAATTTGTTAAATTCTCTGAGCTTACAGGGCAATCAGCAAATTTTGAAAAGCTGCTTTTCCCCGTCTACTCAGGAGTTTGGGGCGTCGCTGTAAGGGTGTCTGTGTTGGTCAGGTGTTGACTTTGATCTAACAAAAATATCTCAAAATGTATTAAATGGTTTGACGAGAATAAACTGAAGTCATCTACTGTCTATCGAGTAGCTCTACCGTCACTTCAAATACCTGGATAGCAATGCCATTTTCAATTTCTATAAGCAGCGAATTTACTTTCCTGTGTCACAAAGTTCAGGGACTCAAACACAGAAGAAAAGGTTAGTTATTGCACACAAATCCAAATATGAAAACCTAAAATACCATGAACACAGAAGAAGCTGCAAAGGAAAGCAAAACAGAAAACTAGGAGCACCGGAGATGCACATAGGCAAGCAAAAAGGATGGACTGAAAAGAAGACGAGGAGAGCAGCTGGACGAAACTGAACACAAAACTAAACAGGCAATGCTAATGAGAGTGAGGGAAAACAGACAAAGAAAGGAAGACAAGGAAAAGAACATACCCGAAAGGAAAAGCAATAAAAAGAAGGCAAAGTGAAGCACAACACATCCAGTGATTCACAAGAAATAACCCCCCTTCCAAAAAAAGGTTGTAACCGCAAGCTGTTATCAACAAGTTGGCCAACATGGATGCTGTGTGTGAAATATAAAAATAGAATAATATGCGTGCTGGCAGTATCATCTTTAGAGATGGATGAAAGAAAAGAGTTGTCTACCACCCTCAAAGTTTTAAAAAGAGGTATTTTAATCAAAATCATATTCATTTCATAATCCTTACCACACAGTGAGTGGAAATGATTTAAGCTGAAACCTGATCTGTGATGAGATTCAAATCCCAGCATCCTGTTCAAAAGCCAGCTGTGTTTGTACAAACACAGTCTCACGTAATACAGACTCTGTCATTCCTTTTAACTGGAAATGCGCCTATATGCCATTTTAGGCATGTTTAAATGCAGTGTTGGGAAGGTTACTTTTAAAATGTATTCCA